GCCCATGGCCCTTTCAGGTTGATTTATGCTTCTTGGACCATATTTTTTGTCAATTGCTGAGTCCAAGATGATCTCCGAGAATGGTGCCTTTGTTGTTAATGAACAACAGAGTAAAGTGAGAAAGAGAGAGAGAGAGAGAGGGTTACCATTCATTTTGTCCATGGAAAAAAAATTAAAAAAAGAAAAGAAGAAAGAAGTAAAACTAGTTAACTTGTTTATTATCTTATCCTTTCCGACGTTGATAGTCCTTTCTTCTTTTGTGCTTCTATCTGCAGATTCAAACATCCTGAGCAGGCTACACATGTCGTTGTGGAAATGGGCTGTACTCGAAAATCATCACTTATCATAAACCTTGCAGTAGGTTTCACAAACACCCCTCCTTGAGGTACAGAGGATCGGTTTCCTAGTTTATGTAAGGTATTCATGGTTAATCCACAGCGGCAATGAGCCTTGTAGCAAGGACCAAAACGGCTATAGTATGGAATTCTATTATGGGGAAAATTCGTAGAATTGTTACACTTGAAACAGGAGACATAGATATCAGTAGTGTCAACAAAATTAAACTAAAGGTTCCTGCAGTAAATTTCTGCAGAACTTCGAGGACGAAGCAGCATGTCCTTGCATTTCCCGCTTTGTAAATGTTCCTCATCAAGATTCCCAATACTTTCATATAAGTTGTTCAAACAACCAAAGTTCTCTTCTAGTGAGTGATCACGGACAAGTCTGACAATGTTTCCAACAGGCATAGTCATGAAGCTGAAGAGAACATCAACAAAATCCTTATTGGACTCCACAAAAACAACTCGGTTTTTATCTTTCTCCACCAGCACCTTCAGGTTTATACTTAGTGAATCATCCTTCGACATCATTCAAATGAAAAATGAAAAAAATAGACAGCTTATATTTTAATGAATGAACCCTGCATCAATAATCATATAGACTGTTAGAAATTTCATAAAATGTTGGAATTTGTTTACATGATGACTAACCTGTATATAAAGTTCTATATGATGATTAAACTGTACGTTAACGAAACTAATATATCCATGTTCAGTAGAACAGATCTTATCTGCTATTTTCTCAAATGCATAAAAACCATTTAGATTATTCATAACTGATAGCAAAACATGCACATCAATTAGAAATTGGGTTATAATTGGCTAATCACAATGATTTTAGACAAATTACCATTATGGCTTGAAATTAGTAACACACTGACAATTAAAATTGACACATAAGGTATGCTTTAAGAGTGCCAATACACTATCAACCATTTGTCCAAGCAGTGGCCTAAAAAAGAAGTCAACATTTGAGGGAGATACCATTATCTATAAAATAAATAAATAAACAAAATAAGAAAATAAAAAAAAATTATTATCCACCAATCAATGACATCACCTATCTGTCTCCACTCTACAGTCATGTTGAAAAAAAAATTAAAAAAATAAATAAAAAAAATAAAAAAAAGTCCAGAAGTGATTAACAGTAATCAAAACTCATGTATTTGAAAAGAGTGTGACCTTTCAATATCAAATAAGAAGCATATCACGAGAACATTAGACAGTATTATACATTTAGATGAAAAAGAACAAGAAGAGTAAACACTTGCGAACTGAAGTAATGGTATCTGATCAGTCCCAACAGTACATAAGACACCCTGCAACTGCATGATATGGAAAAGGGAAAGCATTTATATAAATTATATGTACTATAAAGAATTATAGAGGGAGATTGTAAACTAGAGAGTCAGACACTTTTCATTTCCTTCTTTTATCTTTCTAGGTTGGAATCTCTATTTCCAATGGAAGATTTTTAAATTATACTCCTTTTTCTGTGCTGTGTTTTGCTTTTTCTATGTCCCGACAACTTATATTCCATTTTAATGCTACCACCCAAAAAAAAAAAAAGGACTCCTGACATCCCTTTGACTAACATATATGAACTCAAATAACATTATTTTCTTTTTATAACATTATTTCAAGCAGATGCTTTACCTTTCCTACCAATAGAAGATAAACGTATTTGCAAATGGAATATGTTTGGAGGTCCATTCAAGAGATTCAATAAGATTCATGACTTAAAAATGACAGAGAGAAGATAAACATGCGTTTAGTATTGAAAAATGAGTGATAATAAGTTAGCCTAATGAATCATTTGGCCTAAAAAAATTAGATGTGAGATGAATAAAGGAATGTTTATTGGAAAAATGATTTTCAAAAAAAAAAAAAAAAAAGAATTCCAACAATACAAGGACATTCCTTTTTTCCCTTTCTATTTTCCACCTAAAATTGCATTACTTTTTAGGAAGAAACTTTAAAACAGCAAAAATAACTAAATAATCATTTAGATATAAAGGGTGAGAAAAGGAATATGACAATTAAGGAAATAATATTAGGCATCAGCAGCATCATATAGAAACAAAGTTTTTCTCAACTACCACAATTGCGACCAAAAATAAGAAAAAGAAGCATAGCTTAATTAAATTTAAAACTGATCTATTTGAGAACATATACAAACAATCTAAAATACAAAGAAAACAATTGACATGAATGACATAGAAGGAAAAGTTTGACACCGGGTTCATTCAATTCTGAATTACTGTGGAGTTTCTTTCCCATTCATGCATCAACGGTCTGAATTCTCATAGAGTTCTTGTTTGGATTCCTTAAATATGAAAACATCAGTCAGAGCAGTTTTCGACAAAAAGCAGCCTCCAATAAACGCAAAGCCTGCACAAAAATCCACATGAATGGATAAAAAATGTAACAACTGTAAAGAAAAACTGATAATCGTAGCATACCCAACACCCATCCTAACATGTAATCCCCAACGGCATTAACGGAGTGATGAACCAAGACACCTCAAAATCAATATTATAGACCATGTTAGACAACCATTTTTCCAAAAAAAATTAGCACCAAGGGGCATAATCTCCTGTGTGAGTCAATAGAATGTAGTTTACCTCCTCCTCGCCCATTGTCACTTCTTGCTATACAATGTCACTAAGAGGAATATTCAATCTGTCAATAAAAGATATGCCTGAGAATGATGATAAAGGCGTAATGGTGAAATCATCTGTCACTATGAACATGGAATGTCCCCTAATGAATCCCTCTGGATTGGACTTCAGTAGCATGCGAGAGACATTGTATTTGCAAAGGAAAATTACAAAATTGAAGACACCCTTCTATTCTTTCTTCTTTTTTTCCTAGCCTTTCCTAACAAATTAGGGGATGAAGAACTCGCACACAAACACACCTGTTCAGGGAGCTGCTATCAACTAAGCCACAGTATAATGCCTAACCCCCTTCTATTTTTGTCCCCCAGCTTCTCCAGCAGAAGGGTGGTTGTGATTGGGGCTATTTAGGCATGTTTAGGGTGTCTCACATAACATTGTTCCCTTTTAAATAAAGTATTGGTTCTATTTTTGTCCTGAGCCTCTTCCTCAATGGCCTTAACTGTTTCAACTTAAATATCATTTTCACTGTCATTTCAATGCACAAACATGGAGAACAACGTGGGTACTATATTAGGTCTCCATGGAGACCTAACTGTGCCCCAAATCCCCTCCACAAAGAAAGTTATCCAGGTTCAGTCCTCAAGATCCATTAGTCATGCCAAAAATGAGAAAAAGACTTCAGAATTGAAATATGATTCTGGGTAGAACCATTAAGACAGCAAAAAATAAAAACGTAGATTTCAAGTCTGGAAATAGGAATTACAGCAATTAAGGCAAAAATATCATGCATCATATAGAACCAAAATTTTCTCAGTAACACCACCCATGACTACCACAAGTCCCAACTGCAAACAAAACAAAGCTGAACATAAAGAGGAAAATTGACATATATGCTACAAAAGTAAAATAGTTCCAACACTGCAATCATTCATTGCTGAAGTTTCAGAATTTATTCTTCATTCATGCATCAATTGTTTGAATCCTCATTAAGTTTCTGTTTTGATTCTTTTTCAGAATGAAAACGTGAGTCAGAGCAGTTTTCGACACCAAAGCAACCTCCAATAGATGCAATGCCTGAAAGAGAAATACACAAATGAATGGATCATTGGCAACTAGTAAATGTAACAACTACAGTAAAGCGAAACTAATAACCATAAAATACTCAACACTCATCCTAACACGTGATCCCCTATAGCATGAACAGAGTATTAAGCCAAGCCCACACATAATTAAAATTACAGTCCCATGTTAGATAACTATTTGTGTTATGAACTAGTTGTGAGAATGAATAGAATATAAGCTTTACTTATAATCGAAGTGTTATGTATTTACCTCCTCCACACCCATGACCACTTCTTGCTCTAAAATGTCACTGAAAGGAACATTAAACCTGTCCATAACATACAACAGACATTGGAGATAAAGGCGTTATGGTCAAATCGTCAGTCACCATGAACATGGAAGGTCCTCTCAAGAATCCTTTGCCAGTTATTGCTTCCACTAAACAGGTCTGACCTCGAAATGAAGAGATATTAAAAAGGGAAGAAGCAGTAGAGTAACATGGATATGAAGCTTCCTCGATGGGAATGAGCTGCTTATGCAAAGCAAGTCCTCAGGCCAGCTTTGGATTGACCAAAATCGACTTCATCTCCTTGGATGTTAAGGATTCCTCAACATTCAAATCTTGAATGCTCTTGTACAGATTATCCAAGCAACCCCTCAAGGACAAACAAGGCAATTTTTCGAAGATAAAACCAAGTGGATATGTGAGGAAACTGCCAATAAGATTAACAAAATCATCTTTTGCTTCTACGTACAGAGCCTTGTAATTAGATTTGTTGATGATAAGCTTCAAAGTCATCTTCATTTCCTTCTTTGTTGTGTCCATGGCCATTTGATGTTGATTCGTACTTCTTGGACCATATTTTTCACGGTAAACGCAAAAACTGCTTTTGTCAATTGTTGATTCGAAGAGGATCTCCGAGAATGGAGCCTTTGTTGTTAATGAACAACTGAGAGAGAGAGAGAAAGGGTGACTAAGTCATTTTGTACATGGAAAAATAAGGAAAGTAAAACTATACTTGTTTATTACCTTTTCCATTCCTATGTTTATAGTCCTTTCTTCTCTTGTGCTTCTATCTGTAGCTTTAAATTCATTGAGCAGGGCTACACATGTCGTAGTGGAAATGGGCTTTACCTGAAAGTCATCAGTTATTATAAACCTTGCGGTAGGTTTCACAAACACCCCTCCTTGATGTATAGAGGGATGGTTATCCAGTTTATGCAGGGTGCGAATGGTTAATCCACAACGATAACGAGCATTCAAGTAAGGACCAAAACATATACAGTTAGGATTATAACTGTTATACTTAACACAGCAGGCATAGAAATCGTTAGTGTCAACAAAATTCAGCTTTAGGTTCCTGCAGTAAATTTCAGCTGCACTTCGAGGACGAAGCAGCATGTCCTTGCACTTCACACTTCGTAGATGTTCCTTGTCAAGATTCTCAACACTTTCATTTAAGTTGTTCAAACAACCAAAATTCTCTTCTATTGAGTGTTCACGGGCAAGTCTGATAATGTTTCCAATAGGCATGGTCATGAAGCTGAAGAGAACATCAACAAAATCCTTATTGGACTCAACAAAAACAACCCGATTTTTATCTTTCTCCACAAGCACCTTCAGTGTTATACATTGTGACGCGTCGTTCAACATCATATAGACAGCTATGTGGTGATGGTTATATTGGAAAAATTCAGCTAATTTTTTACTGAATGTATCCTGCATCAATTATCATATAGTATGTTAGATGTTTCATAAAACGTTGGATTTTATTTATATGATAACCAATCTGTATATTAAGTTCTATATGATGACTAAACCGTAGCAATTGAATTTCGATATATATGATGACTTAACTGTATGTCGAATAAACTAATAGATCAATCTTTAATAGAACAAATCATATGTGCCATTTTCCCAAATGCAAAATTTTAATGTAAAAATAAAGACAAAATATATTTTGACCAAATTCGATAAAGATTCTTAATTTTCTAAGTAACATTGCAAAAATATCAAAGAAACAGAATGACTAAATATATTGATATACTCTTTCCCTATATCCTGCCTTTCTGGTGCAAGTGATGTATTAATAAATAATATAATCATGAAAACTTGACCGAACTGCACTGCATTTATAATTCCCATGTTCTATAAACATACAGCTTACAATGCTCACTAGGAAAAACAAGACATTGAAACAGTGAAGATTATTCATAACTGATTTCTAAGTATGCATATCTGTACTGGCGCAATATTTTACTGAGCACAGAGATTTTAGACTCAAATTGCATACAAAACACTATCAACCATATATCTAAGCATAGTTCCTAAACATAAGTCAGCATTAGAAGATACCTTTATCCATTAAATCCCCTAACAATGCTGCAAAAAGTGGGTGAACAAATATTCTCTACAGTCAACTTGAAAATCAAATTCAAATAATCAAAATTTACCTGAACAGATTAATAGTAATCAAATTTCAAGTTACTAGAATAGTGCCAATTACATAATCATAAAGCTGAAAAAGGGCCTGCCCCTTTCAACATCAAATAAGAAGCATATCAGGAGAAAATTTAGACATTATTATATTGACCTTATAATCATAGTACCTCAAAATGAATTACACAAGAAGATGAAGAAGATCAGGAAGAGTAAAAACTTGTGAACTGAAGTAATGGTACCTTATCAGACCCAACAAGAGAAACACAGCCAGCAACTACTTGTATGTCTAGAGAGACCAATGGGACAATGGATGTATAAAGAAGTAGCAGAAGATGATTTAATGATAAGAAGAGATTGGAAACTAGAAAGCCTGATACTTTTCAATTCCTCCTTTATCTTTCTAGGTTGGAATCTCTATTTCCAATGGAAGAATTTCAAATTCTGCTCCATTTTCTGTGCTGTGTTTTTTCTATTTCTAGGTCCTGACGCCTTATATTTCCTTTTAATAACATCTGACTTTTAATGCTACCCACCAAAAAAGAAAAGAAAAAGGAAAAAGAAAAGAAGGGGAAAAAAATAATTAAAAAAAAGAACTCCTAACATCCCTTTGACAAACATATGAACTCAAATTGCTTTATCCGTGAAGATGCAAGAAACTCCTTCTATTCTTTCTCTCTCTAGAATTCTTACACCTCAACCCGAATCAAGATCCCCCTCCTCTTCATTCCAACTCCTATTTATAGATATTTACAAGATATTTACAAGATAGTTACTAATTGCTGGACCTGGGCCTATTCCTCAGTAAGCCCTGGTCACTCTTGATGGGCTTACTCCCGCTCGGCCCATATGGCAGTGTCTTTTTATGGGCTGACCCAGCTGTTCGGACTGAAGGTTGTGTTTTGCGAGTCGGACCTGGCCCATGTCATCCAGGGCCTCCTCAACTGCCCCCATAATTGCCCCTTATTTAATAAGGGGTAATTATTGATGGCGTCTCATCATGACGCTGACGGCTCGAGATAACCACGTGGGGGAGCGAACGGTCAGATCCAGAATCAATGTTCCGGGGTTCGAGGGATTTCTTGCCTTCCCGACGCTTCGGCCCTCGGGCCCCCTTGCCTATATAATGCTCTCGAATTCCACTTCACTTCCCTTTACCGTCTCCATCATCAGCCAAATCTCCCTCTTTCTAGAACTGTGCTAAGCCTTTTCCGGTGAAATCCTTCGAGAGTCATTCTCCCAGCGATCTTGCAGTCCTCCGAGGTTAGTTTCGTTCTTTTTACTTTCGGCAGGCTTCCATTTTCCCTCTTTTAGATTCTTCTTGCACTTCCACCATGGTTGTAGATCTGGGTGTCCTTCGTATGAGACTTAGGCTTCCTGACAACATCGTAGTTAGGGTTTGCCCCCAAGACGTTAATATTACGACCGGCGCCGGCCTCCTGCCCGGCGAAGTCTTATTCACAAACCTTCAACTGAATGTTGTTAGGTTCCCTCTGCACCCTTTCTTTAGTTACGTCTTCAACAGATTGGGGATATCCCCTCTGCAGGTCAACCCCAACTTCTTTAGGATCATATCTGTTATGCTCTTATTGACGCGTGACAGAAATCTGGACCTTGACCTCATAGACCTCCTTCTGTGCTATAAGGTCAGTAAGATCCGTACTAACGAGCCCTTCTACCACCTCTACCCGTTCGAGAAGATGTCCATATGCACTGACACAATAAAATCTGAAAAGGGTTGGAGGGATAGCATAGTGGGTATTAGTGGGGCTTGGTCTTCGCCGGCTGCAGAGGATTACCCTATCCCGAGCGCCTTTGGTGTCTGCTCTGTCTCCTCCTATAAAAAATTCAAATCCCATAAACACGACTGCCCCTGTGAAACATGCGTTCCTCGTTTTTGCACTTACTTATGCCGCTCCTTGGGAATACCTTGTGATGACTTGAGCTACAGTGTTTGCAGGGATAGGATTAACTACTTGAAGAGATACGTTCTGAACGATATTCCTTCCTGCTCAGATCTCCTCACTTCAGACAACCTCTTTGCGCTCTCATCACTCGGCTACAATATGAGCAGACTGCAGATTCCCTCTTTTGGCAGGAGGAAAAATACTCCCCCAGTCATTCCTGCTGCTGGGGCGACCTCCTCTCCAGCGTCGGCTTCTTCTTCAGCCACCATATCTGACACTGTCCCGAGCGCAGTGGCTACTAACCCTGCTGCCAGCGCCCCTGCGGCCAACCAGAACGCGCCCTCCCCAGCTACCATAGCTCCTGCTGCTGCGGGGGGCGGTCGGGACAAAGAGCGAGGCAAAAGGCCTCATCCTGACAGTGAAATCGACCCTGAGGAGGAGCCTCTTATTAGAAGGACCCGAGTCTCTGGGCCGGGTACTCTCTTGCACCGAGCGATCAGAGCTCCTTCTCACTCTGGGCCTCCTGCAGCTGGTGGCTCTGCTTCTGCTTCAGGCCCCCCTTCTATCCCCAGCTTGCCGCCATGGGCCCCTCGGTACACTCGAACGGATGGGACGTTCGTGAAACCGAACGAGACCATGCTGAAGGATGGCCAGACCGCTATGGCCTACTACAGGAGCATGTGGACTCCGAAGGACATTGAGGCGGCAAAGGGCCTTTCCCAGAAGGACGTGTTCAGTCGCTTTCCCCAATCTGCTATGGAGGTGACTTTTATTTTCTAACTCATGAATTCTCTTATATTACTTGGTCTTGCCTTCTCCCGTTCTGACTATTGGTTTAACCGTTCTTATTGTGCACCTATGCAGACATTGTTTGGGATGATGGCCATGCAGAAGCAGGTGGAAATGGGGAACGCCAGGGCCCGAAAGTATTCTGACAGCCTGGAGGTGGCTAATAAAGAGAACGACCTCCTTGCCATGAAAAATACCGAGGTGCTGGTTCGGCTTGACAAAGCCGAGCAAGAGAGAGATGTCCTGAAAAAGGAGAATGATTCCCTTCAGGATGAGAAGGACGCCCTCCAGCTCGAGAAGAGCGTCTGGCAGACTGAGCAGGAATCACTCAGAGAAGAGAAGGCAGAACTCCAACGTCTTCTAGCTGATGAACAGTCTGCTCGGATGGCTTTTGAAAAAAGAGCTCTGGACGAGCGTACCGCTCTGATCGACGTTATCAGCAGAGTGGGTGGTGGGATGCTGGCCCTTCATGCTCGGTTCTCCAGGGTCGGTGCTCTTCGGTATGCTCAAGGATTCCGGGAAGGCTTCGCCGACCGGGTTCCGGATGAGGGACAGACCAGCTCCACTCCGGATGAGGTAGACAAGGATCTGGGGATCGAGCCTCTGGGGGTCTATGTCGACCCAGAACCCACCGAAGCGGAGCGTATATTTGATGAGTGCCAGGACATCGCATCCTCAAGGATCATCACAGCTCCTCCTACCGCTCTGCCACTGACCGCTCCCCAATCGTCAACCGTGGCTCCCTCTGTAGCCACTGCTGACGCTGAACCCCAGCCGAACGACTCAGTTATTCACCTGGATTCCCCACCTCATGAAGGTGAGGCGGCTGATGGGGCCGAGGAGGCGAGTCGGCAGGACCAGGATGCTGTTGGTACTGAGGCGTCTAGCTAGGGCTCCTTCGAATTCTTCCAGTTCATATCTTCTTGTAATGATGGACACCTCTCTTTTGTAAACTAAATGTTCAATATTAATGAAATGGCCGAACTCTTTTTCTCTATGTGTTGTGCTCTGTTCAACTTATCTTCAGTACATATATATCTTTTCTCTCTTTTTCTTTTTATATTAGTTTTGCTGTGTGTTTGTACGGCAAGTGCCTGGCGCTCGGCTAGAATGCCACTTGCCACTTGGCTTTAAATTTTTAGCAAGTGTCTGGCGTTCGGCTTATAGTGCCAGCTGCCACTTATCTTGCTTAAGTGCCTGGCGCTCGGCTAGAATGCCACTTGCCACTTGGCTTTCAATTTTTAGCAAGTGTCTGGCGTTCGGCTTATAGTGCCAGCTGCCACTTATCTTGCTTAAGTGCCTGGCGCTCGGCTAGAATGCCACTTGCCACTTATCTTGCTTAAGTGCCTGGCGCTCGGCTAGAATGCCACTTGCCACTTGGCTTTCAATTTTTATAGTAGACCATTGGAAAAGAAAATTCTTCTCTTCTTTTTTTGTAAATTCCGGTAACTTGCTCATTCATATGTATTTGATTAACAACAAATAACATCCAATTAAAACCAGAACTTAGCTTCTATTGATAGTACCTCTTCAGAGACGTGGCGTTCCAGGGCTTGTTGACCAACTTTCCCGCCATGGTTTCCAACGTATATGCCCCTTTGCCAATGACTTCTGCAATTCTGTATGGGCCTTCCCAGGGTGGCATCATTTTTTTGACCATCCCCACCTTTCTTTTCAGAACCAGATCGCCCGGGGCAAAATCCCTGTGTTTTACTCTCTTATTGTGACTATTCGCCAGCACTTGCTGATACGATGCTAGCCTTATAGCCGCTGCGTCCCTCCTTTCGTCTATCATGTCGAGGTTCAATCTTAACATCTTGTCGTTCTGATCTCGACTCCATGCTAAGCTTCTGATAGTGGGGACTAAATGCTCAACCGGTATAACTGCTTCGGTACCATACGCCATCGCGAACGGGCTCTCCCCAGTCGGCCGCCTTGGGGTGGTTCTGTAAGCCCATAGAACGTTCGGGAGTTCATCCAACCACTTCCCCTTATGATCTTCCAGCTTCTTCTTAATGCAGGCGAAAATGGTTCTGTTTGTGATTTCTGCTTGTCCGTTAGCCTGAGGATGACTTACTGCAGCCAACTTCTGGTTGATTCCATACTCCTCCAGCAGCTTTCTTACTTGCCTGCTGTCGAGGTTTGTGCCATTGTCCATGACTATTGTTCTGGGAACACCGAAGCGGCAGATAATGTTGTTCCAGATAAATCGTCTCACCTGAGTCTGAGTCACGCTAGGATACGGTTCTGCCTCCACCCATTTAGTGAAATAATCCGTGGCCAGTAACACATACTTGTTCTGAGCTCTTGCAGTTGGCAGAGGACCGACCACATCCATCCCCCATTGCGCGAAAGGCCACGGCGAGGCCATTACGTGCAATTCTTCAGGTGGTTGGTGGATCATTGGTCCATATCGTTGGCACTTATCGCACCTTCGAGAGAACTCCTCCGCATCTCTTGACATGTTTGGCCAAAAATACCCTTGTGTCATTGCTTTATGCGCTAACGATCTTCCCCCAGAATGATTGCCACACACACCCTCATGAATAGCTCGCAATACCTGCTGCGATTCCGCGGGGGTGACACATTTCAAGTACGGGCCAGAATAGGACCTTCTGTACAGCTGGTTCCGCACGATGGCGTACTTGGCAGCATTCTTTTTGAGTTTCCTAGCTTCATCCCTTTGCATAGGCAAAACGCCATCTCGAATATAGGTAATGATTGGGTCAATCCAACTCGGTTCATACGGTATGACGTTGACTTGCCAAGGGTCCGAGACCATCGGTTCTTCGAAAATGGACGGCTGGGTCACTATTCCCACTGGAATCACCCTCGCCAATGTTTCACCACAACTTGAAGCACTGCATGCTAAACGGTCTGCATCTGCATTCTGTTCCCTCGGCAACTGTATGAATTCAATCTTTGCAAAGTCCTTGGCTCTACGCAGAACGGCAGAACGGTATGCCCCCATCATGTCATCCTTGGTTGCGTACTCACCATTTACCTGCCGAACAATCAGCTGCGAGTCACTATACACTGTCAAACTTTTGATCTGTAGCTCTTTGGCCAACTTTAATCCATTTAGCAACGCCTCGTATTCCGCTTCATTATTGGTGGCTCGGAACTCAAGTCTGAGTGCTTGGCTCAAGGAAGTACCTTCTGGGGTTTGCAGTTTGATCCCAATCCCAGCCCCCGTCGGGTTAGAGGAGCCATCCACAAAAAGTTTCCAAGAGCCGCTTCTAAGGTCCTCTTCCGTATCTTCGGCATCACATTCTAGTAGGAAATCGGCCACCGCTTGCCCTTTAATAGCTGTTCTCGGCTCGTACGTTATGTCAAATGAACTCAACTCTATGGCCCACTTTGTCATTCTGCCCGAGAGCTCTGGCTTGTGCATGAGCGTTCTGATTGGGAAAGTTGTTAGAACAGCTATGGGGTGGGATTCAAAATAATGCCTTAACTTTCTTTTTGCATTTACAAGTGCAAGTACCACCCGTTCGGCCTTTGAGTATCTTTTTTCTGCCTCCATCAGTGTCTTGCTTACATAAAATACTGGGTATTGCACCCCTTCCTTGCAACGAATCAGAACGGCACTCGTCGCGACACCAGATACTCCAAGATATAGAAATAACTTTTCTTCCGGTTCTGGGGCTGACAGGACTGGCGGATTCTGCATATATTGCTTCAAATGAGTCAATGCCTGTCGTTGCTCATCCCCCCAGACCTGCCTTCCATGGCTCCGAATCGTGTCAAAGAATGGTTTGCAGTGGTCTGACAACTTTGAAATAAATCGACTTAATGCAGCTATTCGTCCTGTTAGGGCTTGCACCTCTCTGATCGTCTTTGGCTCGGCATTCTTAATCAAAGCCTCTGCTTGAGCGGGGCTAACTTCGATGCCCCTGCGGTTGACCACGTGTCCCAGAAACTGCCCGGAACTCACACCGAACGAGCACTTGGTCGGATTGAGCCTCATCCCATATCGCTTTAGTACATCAAATACCTCTTGCAGATGCTTCAGATGATCATCCTTTTTCCTACTTTTCACCACCATGTCATCAATATAGGCTTCGACAATCTTACCCATTTGATTCTTAAAAACTTTGCTGACAAGTCGTTGATAAGTTGCTCCCGCATTCTTTAATCCAAAAGGCATAACCTTGTAGCAGTACGTTCCTCGCTCGGTGACAAAAGAAGTTTTTTCTTCATCTGCGGGGTCCATAGGAATCTGATTATAACCTGAATATGCGTCCAGAAAGGTTAAACGCTCATACCCCGTGGTGGCATCCACCATTTGATCAATCTTAGGCAACGGGAAACTGTCCTTCGGGCAGGCTTTGTTTAAATTGGTGAAATCAATGCATACGCGCCATTTCCCATTTTTCTTCTGCACCACAACGACGTTGGACAACCACTCAGGGTAGTGCACCTCTCTGATAAATCCCGCATCAAGCATCCTATCAACTTCTTCCGTTATGATCTGATTACGTTCTGGAGCAAATCTTCGCTGCTTCTGTTTCACTGGTTTGAAATTAGGATTGACATTCAGGGAATGACAGGAGACGGAAGGACTAATTCCAGGCATGTCGAGATGACTCCATGCAAATACGTCGACATTGTGGGATAAGAAATCCACTAGCTCTTGCTGCTCTTCTCTGGTCAGTCTTATACCCACTCTGGTAGTTCGTTCTGGCCTGGACTGATCGATCTGCACATCCAGAAGGGGCTCCTCGGTCAAGTCGGCTGACTCCTCCACCCTATTCTGCTCGAGTGGAGGTTCCTGTAATTGCTATCTGGGGCTTGTCGACCGGACGGGCGCCTTTCCCTTCCCTGCATGCTTTAGTGTGACGGAATAACACTCTTTGGCTGCGACCTGATCCCCCCGAATGTCTATCACTTTATCTCCATCGGGCCCGAGGCACCTCATGACCTGATGCAGAGTTGAGGGTACACCTCGGACTCTGTGAATCCATCCTCTTCCCATCAGGAGATTATACGAGGGGTGAATTTCCACAACCACAAAAGTTTCCATAAGAGATCGCTCTGCAGCTTGAACTTCTACTTCCACCATCCCGACGGGTTCCACCCTCTTCCCATCGAACCCTAATAAGGGATTTCCGGTGGGCTTGAGCCTCTCTGGTTTAATGTCGAGCCTGTCAAATGTGTCCCTTGGCATAACATTCGCACTGCTCCCAGGATCGATCAGAACTCTGCGCACCAAGCACTCTGCCACTGTCAAACTGACTACCAACGGGTCGTCATGAGGCAGTTGGACACGCTGCAGGTCTGTCCAGTCGAACTTTATCTGCATTGACGGGCTCTGTTGGTGTAGAGTGGTCACATTGCCGACCCTTTTCTTCATCTGTGCCTGCCGCAGGCGCACCCGTAGCAGCTCATCTGGCTCTTCACTAGGCTCGGGTCGACCATGGATAGCATTGATTATACGAACTGGTTGCGAATTGTGGGAGCTTTGTTTATGACTCCTTTTTATTTGTTCCACTGGTCGATTCTGCTCCATCGCCGAGCCTTGAACATAACTCGCAAACTCCCCTCTAGCTATCAACATCTCCACTTGCCTCCTCAGGTTCCTGCATTCGTTAGTCTGATGTCCGAAATCAGAATGAAAAGCACAATGTTTAGTTTGATCCCTCTGTTCGAGGGGTTGTCTAATTGGCAGTGGTGGATGAAACTTGTCCTTGTTCTCCTGATATAACCTCGCCAGAGTGACCTTCAGCGGAGTAATCAACTCTTCCTCCCTGGACCTTTTTTCGGCCTTCCAAGTGGTCTGACGTTGCGGCTGAGCCTGCTTCTGCCTGATCTTTGCCTTGGACTTTTCCTCGGTCGACACAAGCGACGTTGTCCGAGCATTAGCTGCCTCCTCTTCTTCGAGGCGCACAAAGCCATCGGCTCTCTCATTGAGTTCGTCCATGGTAGCTGGCGTATTCACTACCAGACTGGTGTGAAACGGAGTTCCGCGTGTCATGGCTAACTTGAAGGCTTGAACTGCCGTAGTAGGATGGCATTCGATTACCATACTCTTAGTGAGATTAAACCTGGTAAGAAAGGCCTGGAGCCGTTCATCCTTGTGTTGCCGCATCGTGAACAGGCTCGAGATGTCCTTCGGCGGGCGTTTGTTCCCATAGTACTGGCTTATGAACCGATCGCACAGGTCCCTGAAACTGCCAATGGAGCTCCTAGGCAAGTTTTTGAACCAGCTGAGCGCCGGTCCGGCCAAACTTGTAGGGAAGCATTTGCACATTAAAGAGTCGTTTTCCGTGTTCAGGGCCATTTTCAACTGGATATGATACACATGATCGATCGGATCGGTTGTTCCGTCAAACAGAATAAAGACTGGCATAGCAAACTTCCTTGGATGCGGCGCATTCAAGATCTCGTCGGTGAATGGTGAATCCACCGTCCGAGCTGCGGATCGGAGAGCTTCATTCTCTCTCTGGAGTCCGGCGGTAGCTCTGTGAGTTACGGTTCTGCCCTCCGAACCGTGATGAGTGACAGTAACCATGGAGGGCCGGTAAGACGGATCGAACGACCGTTCCTCTATGAACTCTCTCTGCCAAGGCGACGCTACTCGACGGCGATCTACCTCCATCACTTCCTCTCGGTCAAACCTTTCCCGCTGCGGATCAACGTGAGTCGAGCCTTCGTGATCTTCAACTCGACGAACATTTGGCGGCGAATTGTCCATCATCCTTTCATCACGGTGGTGAGCTGACTGATTGTTCTCGTTCTGATCGCCTTGATGCGCGATACTAGATGGAACACCTCCTTCTCCGACCGGAAGCGGATGCGAGACTGCGGGTATTTGCCGATGCTGCAATCCAGCTTTCAATTCTGCATTTTCTTTTCTGAGAGCTTCAATCAAATTCATCAACTCTTCAAGCTTTGTTTGCTGGACAGCCTCCATCGGATTGGAGCTTTCACCTATCATTATTCCCGAACGGAGTAAAGGCATTAATCTCAAGCTCGCGAGTAGATCTAAGCTTCGTGAGTAGGAATTTTTAGATCTGGCTTCTAATTCTCCGAATTATGCTCACTGTTTACAAGATCTGAATTGCCTGGACTCTAAATCCGTCAGATCCTGTCACAATCGAGCAACTCGCGGTTGCGTAGATCTGAAGTCACTCCTGCCAAAGCTTCAAGAATCGTAATTCCTCCAGAGTAGGTCACAATCGCTCAGATCTGGATTCAAATCCGCAAGATCGAGTCTCGATCAACCGAATTGATTTGAATCCATTCGATCCTCCTCATTGATCAACCAAACTTTTATGCGTTTCCCACAGACGGCGCCAATTGAAGATGCAAGAAACTCCTTCTATTCTTTCTCTCTCTAGAATTCTTACACCTCAACCCGAATCAAGATCCCCCTCCTCTTCATTCCAACTCCTATTTATAGATATTTACAAGATATTTACAAGATAGTTACTAATTGCTGGACCTGGGCCTATTCCTCAGTAAGCCCTGGTCACTCTTGATGGGCTTACTCCCGCTCGGCCCATATGGCAGTGTCTTTTTATGGGCTGACCCAGCTGTTCGGACTGAAGGTTGTGTTTTGCGAGTCGGACCTGGCCCATGTCATCCAGGGCCTCCTCAATCCGAGATCTTTAAATTATATTAACAATTTTGGCAAGTTTTGATTTTTCTCTAAAGTCTGATTTTCTTTTTTTCAAATAAAAAAAGAAATAAAGAAAAGATACCTAACTTTTTAACCAATTTTTTTCTCAACTTATAGTTTACGACAAACACATACCGCACAATAAGGCAAATATCTCCCTTGATAGTTGCTTCATCGAATCCTCCGCTATTGTAACAATGAAGTGAGATGAAGAAGATGAAATTAATCAAACATTGTTAAGGCAAAAAATAAAAAAGAACTCTTAACATCCCTTTGACTAACATATGAACTCTGGTTTTCTTTTGATAACCTTTTTTCCAGAGGATGCCAAGAGAAGATAAACATAATCGCAACAGGAAAATGTTTTGAGGTCTATTCCAGATATTCAATAAGATTGATGGCATAAAAACAACATAGAGAAGATAAACATGCATTTGGTATTGAAAAATGAGCGATGATACGTTAGCCTAATGAACCATTTGGCCTAAAATAATTGAAAGTGAGATCAATGATGGAATATTTATTGGGGAAAAAAAAAACCAACTCAACTATAAATGGCATTACTTTTTTATTTTTATTTTTTTAAATTTTTTTTTTCACCTTGAATTGCATTACTTTTTGCAATGTCATGGTACATAGGTAATACTTGGACTTCACTAATGAGGACTACCAATTGTCTCACAAAAGCTTAAACCTTAAAAGTGCAACAGCTCCTATATTATCCTTAAGTTCTTTGTTGTATTGTCGAGATTTTCTAACTTATAAAGAAAGGAAATCAAAAAAATTCATAAATGTACTTCTTATTCCTTTCTTTTCTTTTCTTTTTTTTTTTTTTTTCTTTTCTTTTTGGCTTTTCTTGGATACTTCGTTCCTTCTCTGTTCTTGAGAACCAAACAGAGCCGCGTATAAACTATGAAGAATGAAAAATATTCAGCATAACTAAATCACCAAGGGAAAGGCTCTCTCTCTAATCTGTCTCCCTCTGAAACTGAATAAAAATGAGATTAAAAATCAAGATCCAGTACATTCTTGCCAAAAAGGAGAAAAATACTTTGATTATTAAACATGGTTCTGGGTAGAAACTTTAAAACAGCAACAAAATAAACATTTAGATTTCAAGGGTGAGAATAGGAATACGGAAATTAAGGCAACAATTTTATGCATCATATAAAACAAAGTTTTTCTCAATAACACCATGCATGCACCACCCATGACTACCACAATGGCAAAAAAAATAATAAATAAAAAAATAATAATAAAACATAGCTTAATTACAACTGATATTTGAGCCTACGGTTGAGAACATATTCAAGCACTTCGAAAATCCAAAGAAAGCAATTGACATGAAAGACAGTTATTTTAGAAAACACACAAACACAAAAACTGAAAGCAGAAGAGTTACCATGTAGCAAGAATTTCACCTAATGGCATGCTCTCTAGTGTATATGAAAAAAAAAAAAAAAAAAAAGCACCACTCTTTGTGAAATCAGACTCACCATTTTTCATTAATGAGAGTGTGGTTAAAGTATAAATAGCTTAAACAACATGTGCATCAAGCTTCCACAGTGAGAACTGTAAACATTGCAGTACAAACAGCAAGGACATATTGAAAAAGAATATTTGGGTTCTTTCCTTCCCATTTTTGCTTTCACCTGCAATCCTCTTTCCTTTCCATTTTCCCTTTCACCTGCAATCCTCTTTCCTTGTGGTCCTTCAACAATCTCTCTTAATATGAAGTTTGCAAAAAAAATCAGCATAATTAAATCACCTAGGGAAAGAACCTTTCTCTTCCATCTTTAAATTGAACAAGACAGCAAAGGTCCTTGGTCACAGGAAAAATAAATAAATAAATACATGGTTTTGGGTAGAAACTAGTAGAAAATAATAAATCAATAATAAGTATGAAGATTTCAATTTTGGAGAAAAGGAGTATGACAACAAAAGCAACAATATTGGGCATCATATAGAAATAGAACCAAAATTTTCATCAATAACACCATGCTTACACAACCAATGACTACCACAACTGGGACAAAAACAAAGTTGCATAGTTTAATTACAACTGATATTTGAGTCTATGGTTGAGAACATATATGAACCCTAAATTAAAATAAAATAAAATAAGCAATTGAAATAAATTCTACAAAAGGAAAAGTTTACACCAAGTTCATTTGTTACTGAATTTTTGTAGAGTTTCTTTTTCATTCATGCATCAATTGTCTGTATCCTCATTGAGTTTTTGCTTTTTTTATCCTTTTTTTCCCCAAGTCACTCAGTTTTTGCAATTTTTTTCTTCTTTTCTTCCCCAAGTCATCAAGTTTCTGCTTTGATTTCTTGAGTACGAAAATGTCAGTCAGAGTAGTTTTCAACACCAAAGCAGCTTCCAAGAGATGTAAAGCCTGCGACAGAAAAGCACATATAAATGGATCATTAGCAACTAGTAAATGTACAACCACCATAAAGCAAAACTGATAATCATAGCATACTCACACCCATCCTAATATGTGATCACCTATGGCATTATTGAAGTAATGAACCAAGAACGCTCAAAAATCAAAATTATAGTCCATGTTAGACAACCATTTGTTCCAAAAAATTTAAGCTCTTACAAACAACTATGTATTAAAAGTTCTCCACACATCTTCAGAATATAACGAATTATCAGTTTAAGGCCACATGATGAACTAGTGGTGTGACTCTGTGAGTCAATAGCATGTAAAGAATAATTATACTCGAGAATTACGTTAATTTACCTCCTCATCACCCATGGTCACTTCTTGCTCTAAAATGTCACCAAGAGGAATATTCAATCTGTCAATAAAAGATAAGCCCAAGAATTAAGATAAAAGCGTAATGGTGAAATCATCTGTCACCATGAACATGGAAGGTCCCCTAATGAATCCATTGCCAATTATTTTTGTCCCGTAGCATGTGTCCAACAATAAAAAGGGAAGTAACAGTAGAGAAAGATGGATATGAAGCTTCCTCGATGGGAATGAGCTGTTTTTCCAAAGCAAGACCACGGGCCAGCTTTGGATTGACCAAAATCGATTTCATCTCCTCAGATTTAAAGAATACCTCCGCATCAAAATCTTGGTTACCCAAGCATCCCCTAAGGACAAGTATGCAAATTTTTCAAAGACGTAACCAAGTGGAAATGTGAGGAAACTGCTAATAAGATCAACAAAATCTTCTTTTGCTTCTGCATACAATACCCTGTTATTAGATTTGTTGATGATAAGCTTCACACTTATCTTTGTTCCCCTTCAAACTTATCTTTGTTCCCCATTTTTCCCAGTTCATAGTCCTTTGAGATTGATCCATGCTTCTTGGAGACAAATGTCAAAACTTTTTTTGTCAATGGCTGGTTCCAAAATGGTCTCTGAGAATGGCACCCTTGATGTTAATGAACACATGAGCCATTTCAGAACCTGAGAGAGAGAGAGAGAGAATTCATTTTGTTCATGGAAACACTAAAAAGTAAACTACTTCATTACCTTGTCCCTTTCCATACTTATAGTCCTTTCTTCTCTTATGCTTCTATCGGTAGCTCCAAACTTACTAAGCAGGGTTAAGCCTGTCATGGTTGAAATGGGCTTTACATGAAAGTCATCTGTTATCATAAACCTTGTGGTAGGTTTCACAAACACCCCAATGGGCTTTTCAGGTTGCAAGTGTAACCCATGTACTGTCCACAATGGCAGAGAGCATTGCAGCAAGTACCCAAACATTGATGGCCATAGCAGGTATGGTAGTCATTAGTATCACTATCAACAGCATTAAGTTTTAGACTCCTGCAGTAAATTTCTGCTGCACTTCGAGGACGAAGCAGCATGTCCTTGCACTCACACTTTGTACATGTTCAACGTCAAGATTCTCAATGCTTTCATATAAGTTGTTGAAACAACCAAAGTCCACTTCTAATGAGTGTTCACGAGTAAGTCGGATATTGTTTCTGGTAGGCATAGTCATGAAGCTAAAGAGGACATCAACAAAATCATTATTAGCCTCAGCAAAAAACAAATCGATTTTTCTCTTTTTCCACCAGCACCTTGAGGCTTATACTTTGTGAATCTTCATTCGCCATCTTTTGAAAGGAACAAAAACAGACAGCTATCTGTCAGGTAGTTATATTGGCAAATTTCAGCTTATATTTGAATAATAGTAACCTGCATCAATCATCATATAGAATGTTCGAAGTTTCAAAAAATGTTAAATTTTGTTTATATGATGACCAAACTGTAACAATTGTATTTTTATTATGACTAAACTGTATGTTATAGAAATTAACAGACTGGTGTTCAGTAGAACAAATTGTATGTGCTATTTTCTCAAATGTCAATGTAAACTAAAGAGAACACATATCTTTATCTAGAGTATATTTGTAAATTTAATCAAGTAACTCTTGAAGCATAGAAGGCAAAGAATTATAGCTGTTCTGAATATTCAAACCTTGAATGAACTGCACCTTAATGCCTATGTTCTATGACCTTGCAGCTTACAAAGCTCATTAGGAAAAACAAGACATTGAAACCTTTCAGACTTATTCATAACTGATTGCAAAGCATGCACATCAATGGTGGGGTTATACTTGACTGATCACAGTGATTTTAGACTCAAATTACATAAAAACTAAAATCATTTTGGCACTGTGACTCGTATGGTGAAATTAGTTACACATTGACAATGAAAACTGACAAATATGGTAGGCTGTAATAGCACCAATACACTATCAACCATCTATCCAAGCACTGGTCCAAAAATAATGTCAACAAAGAAGGAGCTCACACCCCCTTGAGCCAAGAAACCCCTTCTTGAAGACTCATTTGATTATATTAAGACTTCAAATTGAATCAATCCTTTCACTTTCACTCCCAAAATATTTTCCTTCCGGCCCTTGTGTGCCTCAATCCGGTATAACCGAGCCAAAAAACAAAAACAAAAACTAGCTGCCAAATTGGTACTCTGACATTAGGGTTTAGGGGAATCCCCTGCCATGTTGCAACTACACTCAAACCCTAAACCCTAAAAAATAAATAATAAATAAAAATAAACCCTCTTTAATAATTCATTTTCACACCAAAAAAAAAAAAAAAATCACTTTCTTGCTGTACCCCAACTATGAAAATGAAACCCACTGCCCCTAAAATCATCTCAACCCTTTCTAACAGATATCAAAAACCCCAAGTCATAATAACTACATCATCAGTAAAAGCACTTACTTAAAATATATACTGTAATACCTGAAGATGAGTACTCCGTTCAACAAACAAATTTAACTACTCAGGAGTGGAAAGAGGTCTATGGTACCTGAACTGCCAAGCAAGACCAACAACACAGCCTCAAATGTCTGAATATTAATTTGTTGGTTCATTGATGCTGACTAGGGTAGAAGTGAAATATGGATATTTTATACTCAGTAATAAATAAATGGGAATTAAGAGGGAAAGTAAAAGTATCAGGAACAATAAAGTCGGATACATCCTATCTCTGTCGTCTCTGTCTCCTCGATCGATGAGCAACTTTGGAGGAAAAAACAATAATGTTTCATTAAACATTGTCCGTTCTCTGATTATTAAAATAAAAACTTTAAATGAAAAAAAAAAAAAAAAAATACTCCCTAAAAACTTTAGAGCACAACACCGAGGTGTTTCACAAAGAGGTGGGCCTATATTTTAGAAAGCTCAATGAATCTACTTTTCAATCAAAACGTATTTTTTTTTTTTTTCACAAAACAGAGCCGACGATACATCAAAAGTACAAAAACTTTGATTTTAAAATTAAAAATAATAATAATGCTACTTTTCAATCAAAACGTATTTTTTTTTTTATTAATATTATTATTTTTTTTCACAAAACAGAGCCGACGATACATCAAACGTACAAAAACTTTGATTTTATAATTAAAAATAATAATAATGCAGAGTATTAGACCATGACATGTCCAACTAAATTTAGATCAGTAAGTCTCAATTAATTCTTTAGTTAAATGTTTCACATTTATATACACATCTATTGTAAGAGTATTGGGATTTCAATATCTGATCATATGAACCAAGATTGAGAATTGTTAAAATAATTTCTAAAAATAAAATTATTCTTTAATAACTAAGGTAGAAAGTGAAAATCAATTAGTCTCCATCTAATTTTTAGCCATTCTTTCTCATCCATCTCTACTATAATTTATTGAGTGAGACTCGACTATTGACCATATGAGTGAGGCTGAGGGTTGTTAAAATATTTTTTTAAAATATTATTGTTTCTTACTAATTAAGATGGAAAGCAATTTTGGTAGAGTAAAAAAAATACAAATATGTTAACGTTTCCTTAAACATGATAACCTTTCCTTTCATTTTTTTTTTTTTTTTTTACTTGAAAACAATGGGCCACACAAAGTGCTACTCATCCTTATTGGAATGAACTGGTTACTTGAACACACTGGGCCAGACAATGCTGTAAAAAATTAGCGGTTGTGTATGATAGGCCCATGCAGGAAGGGCCATACCGTTTAATCCAAATCAGCAACATTTTCAAGTAGTAGTGCGCTACGCAGCCCATATGGACTGGTCTTTTAGCTCACCGGAATACCTACAGATTCTTCACTAAAGTGATAGATGGGCTGCTAAAGCCCACTTCACAATCTAACCCACGTTACTGGGCACGTCGATCAGGAACAGCCGAGCCCAGTAACAGAGAAGCAATGTGGGATTAAAGATATTATTATAATCCTTAAACTAGGAGAACATTTTGATAACATCCTCCTTATTCTTAAAACTACCATAATCATATTACCTCAAAATATATAGCAACGTGAAGATGAAGAAGATCAATCAGAGTAAAGTGGTGAAAAGAGAAAGCACAAAAATAAACAAGTAGCAGAAGAAGAATGTTACTAATGGAATATGTACTTTCGACAAAAATACATAAACACTCAAAAATACTTTTAAAAAAAACAATTGTCACCACGTTCGACAGAATTTTTCTAGAGTTTCTTGTTTATTCTATTCTTACCATGATTCGCAGTATCGGTCACGGTCGCGGTGTAACATACTCGGATAAGTCAGTATAAACAGGCCGATACATTTCGCGTATTAGACTTGAAGAAGGTCCGCGTATTAGACGATACAGCAAACCATGTGAGGAGGCCCTGGATGACATGGGCCAGGTCCGACTCGCAAAACACAACCTTCAGTCCGAACAGCTGGGTCAGCCCATAAAAAGACACTGCCATATGGGCCGAGCGGGAGTAAGCCCATCAAGAGTGACCAGGGCTTACTGAGGAATAGGCCCAGGTCCAGCAATTAGTAACTATCTTGTAAATATCTTGTAAATATCTATAAATAGGAGTTGGAATGAAGAGGAGGGGGATCTTGATTCGGGTTGAGGTGTAAGAATTCTAGAGAGAGAAAGAATAGAAGGAGTTTCTTGCATCTTCAATTGGCGCCGTCTGTGGGAAACGCATAAAAGTTTGGTTGATCAATGAGGAGGATCGAATGGATTCAAATCAATTCGGTTGATCGAGACTCGATCTTGCGGATTTGAATCCAGATCTGAGCGATTGTGACCTACTCTGGAGGAATTACGATTCTTGAAGCTTTGGCAGGAGTGACTTCAGATCTACGCAACCGCGAGTTGCTCGATTGTGACAGGATCTGACGGATTTAGAGTCCAGGCAATTCAGATCTTGTAAACAGTGAGCATAATTCGGAGAATTAGAAGCCAGATCTAAAAATTCCTACTCACGAAGCTTAGATCTACTCGCGAGCTTGAGATTAATGCCTTTACTCCGTTCGGGAATAATGATAGGTGAAAGCTCCAATCCGATGGAGGCTGTCCAGCAAACAAAGCTTGAAGAGTTGATGAATTTGATTGAAGCTCTCAGAAAAGAAAATGCAGAATTGAAAGCTGGATTGCAGCATCGGCAAATACCCGCAGTCTCGCATCCGCTTCCGGTCGGAGAAGGAGGTGTTCCATCTAGTATCGCGCATCAAGGCGATCAGAACGAGAACAATCAGTCAGCTCACCACCGTGATGAAAGGATGATGGACAATTCGCCGCCAAATGTTCGTCGAGTTGAAGATCACGAAGGCTCGACTCACGTTGATCCGCAGCGGGAAAGGTTTGACCGAGAGGAAGTGATGGAGGTAGATCGCCGTCGAGTAGCGTCGCCTTGGCAGAGAGAGTTCATAGAGGAACGGTCGTTCGATCCGTCTTACCGGCCCTCCATGGTTACTGTCACTCATCACGGTTCGGAGGGCAGAACCGTAACTCACAGAGCTACCGCCGGACTCCAGAGAGAGAATGAAGCTCTCCGATCCGCAGCTCGGACGGTGGATTCACCATTCACCGACGAGATCTTGAATGCGCCGCATCCAAGGAAGTTTGCTATGCCAGTCTTTATTCTGTTTGACGGAACAACCGATCCGATCGATCATGTGTATCATATCCAGTTGAAAATGGCCCTGAACACGGAAAACGACTCTTTAATGTGCAAATGCTTCCCTACAAGTTTGGCCGGACCGGCGCTCAGCTGGTTCAAAAACTTGCCTAGGAGCTCCATTGGCAGTTTCAGGGACCTGTGCGATCGGTTCATAAGCCAGTACTATGGGAACAAACGCCCGCCGAAGGACATCTCGAGCCTGTTCACGATGCGGCAACACAAGGATGAACGGCTCCAGGCCTTTCTTACCAGGTTTAATCTCACTAAGAGTATGGTAATCGAATGCCATCCTACTACGGCAGTTCAAGCCTTCAAGTTAGCCATGACACGCGGAACTCCGTTTCACACCAGTCTGGTAGTGAATACGCCAGCTACCATGGACGAACTCAATGAGAGAGCCGATGGCTTTGTGCGCCTCGAAGAAGAGGAGGCAGCTAATGCTCGGACAACGTCGCTTGTGTCGACCGAGGAAAAGTCCAAGGCAAAGATCAGGCAGAAGCAGGCTCAGCCGCAACGTCAGACCACTTGGAAGGCCGAAAAAAGGTCCAGGGAGGAAGAGTTGATTACTCCGCTGAAGGTCACTCTGGCGAGGTTATATCAGGAGAACAAGGACAAGTTTCATCCACCACTGCCAATTAGACAACCCCTCGAACAGAGGGATCAAACTAAACATTGTGCTTTTCATTCTGATTTCGGACATCAGACTAACGAATGCAGGAACCTGAGGAGGCAAGTGGAGATGTTGATAGCTAGAGGGGAGTTTGCGAGTTATGTTCAAGGCTCGGCGATGGAGCAGAATCGACCAGTGGAACAAATAAAAAGGAGTCATAAACAAAGCTCCCACAATTCGCAACCAGTTCGTATAATCAATGCTATCCATGGTCGACCCGAGCCTAGTGAAGAGCCAGATGAGCTGCTACGGGTGCGCCTGCGGCAGGCACAGATGAAGAAAAGGGTCGGCAATGTGACCACTCTACACCAACAGAGCCCGTCAATGCAGATAAAGTTCGACTGGACAGACCTGCAGCGTGTCCAACTGCCTCATGACGACCCGTTGGTAGTCAGTTTGACAGTGGCAGAGTGCTTGGTGCGCAGAGTTCTGATCGATCCTGGGAGCAGTGCGAATGTTATGCCAAGGGACACATTTGACAGGCTCGACATTAAACCAGAGAGGCTCAAGCCCACCGGAAATCCCTTATTAGGGTTCGATGGGAAGAGGGTGGAACCCGTCGGGATGGTGGAAGTAGAAGTTCAAGCTGCAGAGCGATCTCTTATGGAAACTTTTGTGGTTGTGGAAATTCACCCCTCGTATAATCTCCTGATGGGAAGAGGATGGATTCACAGAGTCCGAGGTGTACCCTCAACTCTGCATCAGGTCATGAGGTGCCTCGGGCCCGATGGAGATAAAGTGATAGACATTCGGGGGGATCAGGTCGCAGCCAAAGAGTGTTATTCCGTCACACTAAAGCATGCAGGGAAGGGAAAGGCGCCCGTCCGGTCGACAAGCCCCAGATAGCAATTACAGGAACCTCCACTCGAGCAGAATAGGGTGGAGGAGTCAGCCGACTTGACCGAGGAGCCCCTTCTGGATGTGCAGATCGATCAGTCCAGGCCAGAACGAACTACCAGAGTGGGTATAAGACTGACCAGAGAAGAGCAGCAAGAGCTAGTGGATTTCTTATCCCACAATGTCGACGTATTTGCATGGAGTCATCTCGACATGCCTGGAATTAGTCCTTCCGTCTCCTGTCATTCCCTGAATGTCAATCCTAATTTCAAACCAGTGAAACAGAAGCAGCGAAGATTTGCTCCAGAACGTAATCAGATCATAACGGAAGAAGTTGATAGGATGCTTGATGCGGGATTTATCAGAGAGGTGCACTACCCTGAGTGGTTGTCCAACGTCGTTGTGGTGCAGAAGAAAAATGGGAAATGGCGCGTATGCATTGATTTCACCAATTTAAACAAAGCCTGCCCGAAGGACAGTTTCCCGTTGCCTAAGATTGATCAAATGGTGGATGCCACCACGGGGTATGAGCGTTTAACCTTTCTGGACGCATATTCAGGTTATAATCAGATTCCTATGGACCCCGCAGATGAAGAAAAAACTTCTTTTGTCACCGAGCGAGGAACGTACTGCTACAAGGTTATGCCTTTTGG